TTTTTTTAGGAAACTTCAAGTGTAGTGTTATCGTTTTCTTAGTTCAATTTTATTTTCCTTTTCTTCATTTCTCTCTAATAATTCTGTTTCTCTTTTTGTGGTCCAATAACACTTTAAATAGAATACTATATTGTTTTAACTTTTATATTTTGCAACCTACATTATGTTGTGTTAGACTATATTAGAATGTTGTTGAATTATTTAAAATATTAGATTTATTTAAAATTTTGGATTATGCTACTTGGGCTTGGGCTTAGGCGGATACGGGGGGAAGCAGGGAGGGGGATAAGGATTAAAAATTTATCCGCAGACGGGGATGGACCGGGGATGAGGATGAAAATTATATCCGTTAACAGGGGTGGACCGGGGATGAACGAAATTTTTTTAAACGGATACGGGGATGAAGACTACACTCCCCGCCTTCGGTCCATTGACATCCCTAATCATCACACTATATTATGATTATGAGTATGTGTGTATTTAATTTGTTACTATATAAATTTTAATTTGTCACTCCAAGTTGTTATTAAACTAAAGTCAATATAATTTTTGATGATTATTGTTGTGGATGAAGTCACTCTATTTAGTCACTATATGTATTCATACTTTGTAGCCACACTATCTTGTACTCTATGAAATCAGTTGTTTTTTTAAAATTATATTGTACTACTTTTATGAAGTGACTCTTTTTAATCACACATTCTAGTAACTCTATGATATCAATTGCCCTTTGTTTTCATATAGTGTTGTTTTGCTGGAGTCATTCTTTGTTGTCACACCTTATAACGAAAACTATGACGACAACCAGTAACATATGTACAAAAAATATTAATTAAGATGTTGCGGTCTTATGAAAAATAAAAATAACTTTTGTGTGTTGATACTGTCGCAATGAATAACTTCTAAGAACAGCAATATAATAAGCACAACTCGAATAATTCAATTAACCGATATATGAAACCAAAAAAAAGGAACATACGAACAATAAACAAACAATATTTTGTAGATCATATATCAAATTCAATAAATTGTTTGAGTTTATAACGATATTATGAAAAAAATGTAATGAACTGTAGAATACTGATCATACAAACGATTGATTTGAAATCCCAACCAAATCATATTACAATGCTAAGAATTCAAAGTTCTTCAAATTGGATTTTATAAAAAAAAAAAACAAATATTTCACCATTTAGCCAAAAAAAAAACAAATGATTAGAAGAACACTTCCAACTTGACATTTTATATCTTATGTAAGAATTGCGAAAAGGATAGATTTGAATATGAAGTGGTTTGATAAATCGTCAATGACTGAATTGAGAAGAGAAAAATTTGTCGCTAGCAAGGGTTTTGAAATTATCTTTTCAAATTTCAAACAATTTCTAATCCCCGTCATTTAGAAAATCTCTTACCTCAATAAAACAGATTCGAAAAAAAAAGAGACCATCAAATCCGTTACGCATAAATTAAGGTAAAAACAATTGAGTGATACAAAAATATGTAAAATTGTAATGTGTACCTGCTAATCGAATATTTANTGTACTCTATGAAATCAGTTGTTTTTTTAAAATTATATTGTACTACTTTTATGAAGTCACTCTTTATGAAATCACTATTTTCTGAAGTCACTCTTTTTAATCACACTTTCTAGTAACTCTATGATATCAATTGCCCTTTGTTTTCATATAGTGTTGTTTTGCTGGAGTCATTCTTTGTTGTCACACCTTATAACGAAAACTATGACGACAACCAGTAACATATGTACAAAAAATATTAATTAAGATGTTGCGGTCTTATGAAAAATAAAAATAACTTTTGTGTGTTGATACTGTCGCAATGAATAACTTCTAAGAACAACAATATAATAAGCACAACTCGAATAATTCAATTAACCGATATATGAAACCAAAAAAAAGGAACATACGAACAATAAACAAACAATATTTTGTAGATCATATATCAAATTCAATAAATTGTTTGAGTTTATAATGATATTATAAAGAAAATGTAATGAACTGTAGAATACTGATCATACAAACGATTGATTTGAAATCCCAACCAAATCATATTACAATGCTAAGAATTCAAAGTTCTTCAAATTGGATTTTATAAAAAAAAAAAAAAAAACAAATGATTAGAAGAACACTTCCAACTTGACATTTTATATCTTATGTAAGAATTGCGAAAAGGATAGATTTGAATATGAAGTGGTTTGATAAATCGTCAATGACTGAATTGAGAAGAGAAAAATTTGTCGCTAGCAAGGGTTTTGAAATTATCTTTTCAAATTTCAAACAATTTCTAATCCTCGTCATTTAGAAAATCTCTTACCTCAATAAAACAGATTCGAAAAAAAAAGAGACCGTCAAATCCGTTACGCATAAATTAAGGTAAAAACAATTGAGTGATACAAAAATATGTAAAATTGTAATGTGTACCTGCTAATCGAATATTTAGGATCATAAGGATTTAATGACTGAAAAGTCTGAACTATGTACTTTAAGATGATGATGCACAAAATAATTTCGTGAAAGACCAACAGTCGAATGTGTGATAAAGTGTAATTAATGAGACAATTAATAAAGCATCCATTGGCAGTAATGTAAATATTGAATCAACACATAGATATATAGTGGTTCAGTCCGAGTGACCTACTCCACTATGAGAAACGGCAACAGAAGCCAAGGGGTCATTATTGATCAAGCAAGGTCTCCGGAGAGAGATACAATAGCTAGAAGAGAAAAAGTGTGTGTAGTGCGGTGTAGAGGCAAAGCTCAATGTGTAGTGAGATGCCTTTCTCAATGGAGAAACTTTACAATTTATAGGTATGGTGAGGGAGTGACGTGAATATGAGGGTACGAATTCTTTGGAGATGATAGTTACAAAATGTAAGTACAATTAACTAATTATAGTAGCCTTAATCCTCGAGGTTGTGTATCGCGATGATTTCTCTCCATGTCCTCTAATTATTCTTGGACGCTTCGGACCTTGGGTTGAGTCGAATTCACGAACTCGACTTGAGCTGTTTTTTAGGTGACTTGAACTTACTTGATTTATTGGGCCTGACCCGGTTGAATTTGGGCTCGTCACAAGGTAAATCAGTTTTCTAGAATGTATCTGCTCACAATTTTTTCTGGAATTTAATTACTTGGAGTGAATACAAATTGACTTTTTTAATCCTCACAGTTGCATCCTTGGGCTTGGGTGATTGATTGTGCCTTAATCAGGCAAGGGCCATCGTTAGAGCTCTTTTGAAACCAAGAATATTGTAAATGGATTTGGCGTAATTACATCTTTACTGGTTCAAAAGTTCATAACTAAAATTGTGGACATGAATTTCAAAATTCATATTGAAACCTTCTTGCAATAAATTATTTGACCATAGCGGGTTTGTTCAAATAACTAAATAGTTGTCCACTCACAAGTATGATTTCAAGTCAAATCTCACTAGTTATATAACAATTCAATTTTCCTCTTTTGTAGAAAAAATTTAGATCAATCACTCACTTAACACAACATAAATTTTCACCAACCAAGCCCAACTAGGGCCTGCTCAAGTCAATTTAAAGTCTAAAGCGAAAACACATTACAACAAAAATCATTTTTTGTGACGATTTTTTTTATCGCAAAATTAAAAAAATCGTTGCCAACAGTTTTTTGCGACATTTTTTTTTTGTCGTGTATTTGTCGCAATAGTCTCGTTGCAGAAAGTATTTTGCAATGCAAATTTATTTTCATTGGAAAAAAAAATTTCGCGACAAAATAAAATTGTCGTTAAAAGTTAAAAAACGTCGCTAAAATATATTCCACAAGATTTAGAAAATAAAAAATATTATTTTAATTAATTTTTCGCGACGTAATAAAATTGTTGCAAATAATTTTTTCATAAATAAAAATTATAAAAAATAATAATTTAATTACTTTTTAGCGACGTAAAAAATTCGTCACAACTAATTTTTTCATAAATAAAAAATATAAAAAGTTATAATTTAATTAATTTTTAGTGACGTAAAAAAATTATCGCGAATAATTGTTTCATATATAAAAAAAGTAAAAAATAATAATTTAATTAATTTTTAGTGAAAAAAATCGTCGCGAATAATTTTTTTATAAATAAAAAATATATAATTTAATAATTAAATTAATTTTTGGCAACATAAAAAAATCATCGCAAATAATTTTTTATAAATAAAAATGCAAAAAATAATAGTTTAATTAATTTTTAGCGATGTAAAAAAATCGTCGAGAATAATTGTCAAAAATAAAATTTTAATTAATTTTTAGCGATGTAAACAAATCGTCGTAAATAAATTTTTAATAAATTAACAATCTAAAAAATAATTAAATAAATACATTTGCGACGTATAAAAATTATCGCAAAAAAGCTTGCTCTTGCAATTTTTTGCANTAATTAAATAAATACATTTGCGACGTATAAAATTCATCGCAAAAAACCTTGCTCTTGCAATTTTTTGCAACGATTTTTATCTCGTCGCCAAAAAGTTCATTTTTTTTAATTTTACATAAAAAATAATATTTCAATAAAAAATTTCACCTGTACACTAATAATACTTGTGTTCAATAAAAAAATCAACACAATTTCACATCTTTTTTAAAAAAAAATAAAAATTTTATTTCCAAAAAAAATTAAGTACAAGNTAAAAAAATCAACACAATTCCACATCTTTTTAAAAAAAAAATAAAAATTTTATTTCCAAAAAAAATTAATTACAATAATCAAAAAACAAGAAGTTCTAAAAATAACAAAAAAAATGGCTTTAATCTTTCAAGGGGATTTACACCATCTCTAATTACATTTAATGTCTCTTAAATTTGAATAGCTCCAACAGTCTAGCTCCATGTCTTAAAATACCATCTCCAAGCTCAACACTATTCAGAATATGCATAATCAAATTGACCACCACACACAACCATTCCATTTGAAATATCCNGCATAATCAAATTGACCACCACACAACCATTCCATTTGAAATATCTGTCAACATGATTGTTTTATGCTTGTCACAAACCTATCAAATACATGGAAAATATTAGCACTTAAAATTTATAGGCCATCAAGAGAATTCAAAGTAAGCTCTATCATTTAACAAAACAAATTTATCAGATGATATCCAAAATAAATTGATCTAGAGAAAACATTGTATTAAAGGAACACATGGAAAGGTTATAGGTACATATTCATTTTAGACAGTGAGAATATGTTTGTTTTAGATACCATTCAACTTGTCAATAAATTTAGATAGAACCATGGCTATAAGTATAGCTGGAGTAGCTCATTATTTACTACAGATAGCGTTAAGACTCCCAGATCTGTAAAGAGTAGGGTATCCTATAGTTAATTAGTTATATCCACTACCTATACACAAACAAGTGTCACTGTTTTCATGACCAATTATTGACTTACACCCCTTCATAATGGAGTTAAAACCATAAGCACCCCTACAAAATTTAGTGTAAAATCCAAACGAATATTACCACCGCTTCTTACAACCAGTAAAAGAATATTAGGCAGCATGTTTGAATTATAATTTACTTACACGTGAAAAGTTTAAAATTTTTTATTGTTGACAAGTTTTGAAACAGATCATCCATATGGTGCCGTTGTTCTACCAAATCATTCTAATTTTTATTATAGTGGTAACACAAGAGTTGCACTGACATTTTCAACAAAAGTAGAATCCTATGAATTTCCACGTGCCCAACCCATGACAGAGACTAGTATTCGTAAAAAAAGCCACCAGACACCTGGTGGGTGAACACCGACTTAGAATCAGAAAGAAGCATGTTAATATGTACTAATTGAATCAGAAAGTTGTAGTTCTTACCATTGGAGCTAAGAATAATGAAGCATCTGCAACCCGAGAAATAACAATAACATTGTACCTTTCCATACATTCAACAATTGGAGCAGCTCCCATATAAACACTAGTGCCCTGCGTAAATATAACAGAAAAGTATCAGCCAATTTTTCACTTACAAGGGAAAAGAGGAGGATGGAAAAGGAATAACAGGAAGTAAATGCTTCAAGTATAAAGAAACAGGGATAGACTTAAATTCTCATCTGCAGGTCCCCACCCCCTCGCAGAAGGGGCAAAATGATAGAAGCATACAAGCAGAGCAGCAGGAAGCAGCTGAAAATAGAGCAGCAACAGACAAAGGCAGACCAACTGAAGAGACTAGAGAAGCATCAGAGAGGCAGCTGAGAGCGAGCAGAATGCAGTAGAAAAAGCCATCTGAGAGGCAGCAACATCAGAAATTCCAGCTGAAACATAGCAACTCCAGGACATCAGGGGCAGAAATTCTAACTGAAACCCGCAGAAGAAGGCTGAAAAGCCATGAGAAGAACCAACAGAAAGCCAGCTGAAAGATCACCACATCGCAGCTAAAAGGAGCATTTGGCAGCCTCAGAAACCATAAATACCAAATATAAACCAACTGAGAGCAGGAGCGGAGCCAGGATCCTTTCTTAGAGGGGGCAAAAAAATGACTAAAAAAAATTCACTAATTGATAAAAAAAATTTCAAGTTCAAGGAAGACAAAGTGTTTTAGAATCAAGGCTAATTTATTATATGAAACTACAAAATAAAATTTCCTTTAAAATATGATCTATAAATAACTTTTAAATCTCAAAAATAGGTTATAAGTGATTATTTTTAGTTACTTACTAAAAGAAAAAATGTCAGGGATAACTTCACATTTATTTTCCTCAATCCAAAAATAAAACATTTGTTTCAAGCGGGCAATGAGGCAGTGAACTACTAAGTTGTTTAAAAAAAATGAAAAAAAAGACTTTGATCACTATTAATTCCCAAAAAGTTAGGGGGGGCAAGTGTACTAAATTTAAATAAAGTTAAGTCCTTAATATGTCATATGTAGAGCTAGTCAAAAGTTCAGTGGGGGCAAATGCCCCCATACCTGATTACATAGCTCCGCCCCTGGCTGAGAGAACCATATAAGAAAGCAGATGAACACCAGCTGAGAAGACTAGAAAAGCCAGCCGAGAGGCAGCAGAGATCCAGCTGAAGAGCAGCAGTCAGACTGTTCACGTGAACAGTGCACAGAAGCCCAATCAAGACAAAGTGTTTGCGCAATAGAATAGGTGTGTCACACAGGTTTCCCTACTGGCAGAAACAGCACAGATACTGCAATCAGATGTCAATCCAATGTTAAAACAGAAGAAATGGGTGCCAAGCAGTATGCTTAAGTTACCTGATATGGGTATGCGAATAATGCTAGAGAACAGACACCAATAAGTACCCCCTAACGAAAGCATATAGATAAATGGAGAATATGCTTTCATTGAATCCTTAATATTTTACGAAGATAACTTGTTTTAGTTTATTCATTGCGCTTAGAAACTGCACCCATATAAAACTTCATATTTAATCAGTGTGGACTGAAAGACATACCATTTAGATTATTCAATCAATCACTGCCAAAATCTTCATAACTGAAGCCTTCTGATATAGTGTCCAACCTCTTACCGTCTCCTGACAAGCCAGGGCACAATAATCAGTTACCCTCCTGAATAGAGAACAAGGTCAAATGGAAAGAATCTTACCTTGGTGGTTTACCCTATCACTTGGATCGAAGTAATTGTCTGTACCTGCTGCCTGGAAGGGTGACCTGGAGTAGCTCTCCAATATATCTGAGGTGAAATAAAAAAAGGGCTTCAGGTCATGTAAATGTGTGAAGTAGGATAAAGCTCTTGCATCTTGGCAAAAAAAATTTCTAAATGAGTTAAACAAACTTGCTGACAATCAGAATTCAACACACACCGATAGAAAGAGAACTCGAACTATTAGAAAAGTCAGCTGCCAAGTCTGATAGACTGAAGTTTCGAGGTATANAAGTAGGATAAAGCTCTTGCATCTTGGCAAAAAAAATTTCTAAATGAGTTAAACAAACTTGCTGACAATCAAAATTCAACACACACACCCACACATACACACACCGATAGAAAGAGAACTCGAACTATTAGAAAAGTCAGCTGCCAAGTCTGATAGACTGAAGTTTCGAGGTATCTGTCCTAAAAGTCCAATTGAAGAGACATCGGCATCCAGGATTGTTCCATTCAGTGGTTGCGAATTAGACTCTATGCTGCTGAAAGATGAACAAGAAACATCCCCAATAGCAGGACGTGTTTCCAAGACACTGCCATCAACACCAAACAAGTACTGNTCTATGCTGCTGAAAGATGAACAAGAAACATCCCCAATAGCAGGACGTGTTTCCAAGCCACTGCCATCAACACCAAACAAGTACCGAGAATTTCTGACATATCCAACTTCGGATTTGATCATCCCCCCATTCATTCCTTGTATCATTCCCACATTTGAACCCTGAGCCAACAGTACATTTGGTGGTACATCAATCCTTCTGGCATGAGCAGAGATATCAACAGCTATTTGCAGGCGTTGGTGAAGTGATGACCCACCATTGGGGAGTGCATTTGGTAAAGTGGTACCTATAGGTTGTTGCATGTTATCAGGCTTTAGAGCAAGTCCAGTTTGGTCTGTGACATAGCATGCTGTGTTCTGGTGCACTGCAGCAAACACCACTAATATAATTAGTAGGAGTTAGACCAATCAGACTTTGGAATTTAGAGTAGCTGGATACTAAGTGAAGCACAGATTATTAACAAAATTACTCCAATATTTATCACAACGACTAAAAATAAAAGTTGAAAGGTNTTGGTGAAGTGATGACCCACCATTGGGGAGTGCATTTGGTAAAGTGGTACCTATAGGTTGTTGCATGTTATCAGGCTTTAGAGCAAGTCCAGTTTGGTCTGTGACATAGCATGCTGTGTTCTGGTGCACTGCAGCAAACACCACTAATATAATTAGTAGGAGTTTGACCAATCAGACTTTGGAATTTAGAGTAGCTGGATACTAAAGTGAAGCACAGATTATTAACAATATTACACCAATATTTATCACAACGACTAAAAATAAAAGTTGAAAGGCTCAGACTTGCAAAGTTCAATATGCTGGTAAGCAGGAACAGAGCCATATTCTATTAAGTATGTATCGGGCTTTAGAGGTTTTCCATTGTATTTAACGGAAGCCATGGAGGATGTTACTACCACCCTTTTGATAGATGAAACTTTTGCACATGATGTCAGAACATTAAGTGTTCCCTTCACAGCAGGCTCAATTAATTCTGCCTGAAACATGGAAATCAAATGATAAGCAGCCCTTTCTATATACATTTTATCAAAATAAGCCAATAAAATCCTTTCCTCTACTGTCATGTCACTACCAGCTTTCCCCTGCAAAAAATTTCATTGATCGCTCTAAACTGTTAGCACCCTACTAAAGACCAAACTAAAATATTTTGAGATTGAATGAATAAATTCATGTGGAAGTAATCAACTGACAACTCACCTCTTTAATTTCATCAAAACCAATAAGCTAAACCTCATATAAAATATCTGCTATGGGCGGAACATTTGGGAATGAGAAGTTTCCTTCTTAGTTTTGGCCAAATTCCAAATCCACATGTAACAAGGCATGTTCACCAGATGTAATGACAGACCAAGAATACTATTACGTAGTAGGGGTGGAAAATTTTATTAGAACAGGTGGAAAAGACAATGAATTACAGACCAGCACTTGATAGTGACAAAGAGAGCTTATCTTGTTACAAATACAAATTCAAAACATATGAGAATAGTAAATGACCAGGGGAAAGATAAAACAATTACAATAGATTGTCAAGGAGCTAGGCCAGTAAATAGATAACTAGATAACAAAGGCAGTAAATAGATAAATACATATAGTCACATAGAACAATAAAATCAAAGCAAATCCCAGGAACTCTCCAAAACAGAGCAGGTACAAATTCACAGAAATGCAAATCACCCCCAAAAAGGATAAAAGTATAACAAACAGCCTTCACACAACAAAGATCCAATGTTTACTCAATACCCATCAAAGTCACCAAAAGACAAATAAAGGAAAAACTAAAAATGAATACACAGAAGCTTCTTCCCACTAAAATTTGCGATAAATTTTACAACTACAAACCAACCAAATATAATAAGAGCTGAATTTGTGGGGGAAAACAAGATAGAAATTCTAATTCGTATATGTTACAAAGAGAGATAAGAGAGAGATGTAAACGAAGAACCTGGTGGGTGAAACCAACCGTGGACTGAATCGATGGAGGCGGCGACGATCGATGGTGCTTGTGGCTTCGAGTTCAATCGATGGAGAGAGAGAGAGAGAGAGAGAGAGAGAGAGAGAGAGAGAGAGGAGGCGGTTACGATCGATGGTGCTTGTGGCTTCACTGGATTGTGGCTTTAACTGCAATCGATGGAGAGGGAGAGAGGCAGTGAGAGGCAGAGAGTGTGTGTGTGGCTTTGAGTGCAATCGATGGAGAGGGAGAGAGAGGCAGAGAGTGTGTGTGTTGACCGAAAACGAAGAGGGAAAGATGGGGGAAAAAAGAGTTGGGAAAAGAAAAAAAAATAAAAAAAAAAGGTAAAAGAATGCCTAAAACGACGTCGTTTTATTTTTTTAAATATTATATTTTGAGATGAAAATAAAAACGTCGCGATTTAAAATTTTTTCTATTTTATTTTAATTTTAAATGTGGTTATAATTTAAATGTTGCGACGACAATAAAAAATGTCGCAAATTAAATTTTTATTTATTTTTAATATTCTAGACAAACTTATAAAAAATGTCACGAATTAATATTTTTATTTTATTTTTACTTTAATAACTAAAATTAACATTCTACGTCGCAAAATATTTTAACTAAAAATATTTTCACAGACCAACATTATTTTTTTTCCTTTTTCCACATTATGCCACGTTTATGTATATCGAATACAAAAAGTATAAAAAAATCACCAAAATCTATCCCTCCCAAAACCTGTCAAATACCTCTGCTAGATTTCCACTTAGGATTAGGTTAATTTGTAAAACAAAAAGTGAAAAAAAGAAGAAAAAAAAATTCAAGGAAAACCCTCTATTTTCTCTGTCGACAACTACCAAAATGACACTCAAGACAAAACAGTTTTCTAAATCCACAGAGTAATAGTTAAAGAACAAGAAATTAGACACCCAAAACCACTAATCCCAATAACTAAACTAAGTTATTGCAAATATTCAATAAGTTTAAATTAAAATAAAATGTGAGACTCACAAGTATTATACAGAGTTTGTACTTTCATGTGGAGATGCAAAAACTTACATAGTAATTTTTCAATGGGATCTTTACCTCAGTAATGTGATGGTAGGAAACAATTTGGTTCAAGAGTGAGGGCAAGCAACACTTCAGTTCACAGGGGGAGGGGAACAAAGAGAATAGCGAGGATGAGAGAGAGAGAGACAGTACTGTGTGTGTTGACTGAAATAAACAAAGACGGAGATATTGGGAACAGGAGAAAGAGGGAAAAAAAAAAGGATGGGCAATGAATCTCAATTTATGTAGGTAGTTTTTTTTTTTTAATGTCCAAAATGACGTCATTTTGAATTTTTTAAAAATTATATTCTACGACAAACATAATGTCGTAATTTAATATTTTTATTTTATTTTATCTTTAAATGTGGTTGTAATTTATATTCTGCCACGAAAATAAAAACGTGGCAATTTAATATTTTTATTTTATTTTAATTAATTTTTTTTGCGACAAATTTTTTTTTACCAAACTAAAAAATTTTCATTTCCCGCCATTGCTCGTACAAAAAAAGAGACAAAGAATGACAATTTTGTGACAAAAAAAATGTCGTGTATTAAATATTTTGACTTTATTTTAATTTTAATTTTAATTTTAGATTATTTATTTTTGTGATGAAGAAAAACTATCTGCGACAAACAAAATTTTATTTTAAAACATTATCAATTTCTGCCATTTCTTGCGCAAAAAAAAAATATTTGGGAATTACCTTTTCGCAACGTTTTTTAAAAAAGTTGCAAAAAAAATTTGCAACAAAACTATTTGTGACACAATTATTAAATTGTCTTGGATAGTACAATTTTTGTGACAAAACAAAAACGTCGCAATTAATATTTTAATTCTAATTTAAAATTACAAAGTAAATTCTAATTTGCGATGTATATATAAACGTCACGAAATAATAATTTTATTTGATACGAAAATAAAATTTATATTCTGCGACGAATTATTAAAAACGTCGCTAAAAAATAAATATTCCCGACAAAATAATAAAAACATGACTAATTAATACTTATATTCTATGACAATAAAATTAAATGTTGCGAATTAATATTTTGACTTGGTTTTTATTTTTATTTTATATTTTTGTTTTGCGACGAATTAAAACTATCCGCGACAAAAACATTTTATCGCAAAAAATATCAACTCCCTCCATTTTTCTTGCGCCCAAGAAAAAAATTTGATTTGACTTACCTTTTCGCGACGTTTTTTAAAAAGTGTCTCAAAAGAAATTTGCCAAAAACACTATTTGCGACAAAAATATTAAATTGTCGCGAAAAATTCATTTTTTGTGATGAAAAAAAAAACGTTGCAATTAATATTCTAATTCTAAATTAAAATTATAAATTAAATACTAATTTGCGACGAATATTAAAACGTCACAAAATAATAATTTTATTTAATATAAAATAAAAATTATATTCTACAACGAATTTTTAAAACGTTGCGAAAAAATACCTATTCCCGACAAAATAATAAAAAACGTCGCTAATTAATATTAATTAAAATATATATTCGGCGACGATAATATTCAACGTCGCGAATTAATTATTTTGACTTTAATTTTATTTTGATTTTATATATATATTTTTTTGCAACGAATTGAAACTATCCACGACAAAAAAAAATTTATCGCAAAAAATATTAACTCCCGCCCTTTTCTCGTGCCAAAAAAATTTTGTGAGAATCTCTTTTTTGCAACTTTTTTTTTATAAAACGTCGCAAAAAAATTGCTAAAAACACTATTTGAGACAAAAATATTAAATTGTCGCAGAAAGTTCAGTTTTTGTGACGAAAAAAAAAGTGTCGCAATTAATATTTTAATTCTAATTTAAAATTACAAATTAAATTCTAATTTGCGATGAATATTAAAATGTTGCGTAATAATAAATTTATTTAATAAAAAATAAAATTTATATTTTGTGATGAATTTTTAAAAACGTCCCAAAAAAATAAATATTCTCGACAAGATAATAAAAAATGTCGCTAATTAATATTAATTAAAATTTATATTCTTCGACGATAATATTAAACGTCGCGAATTAAATATTTTGAGTTTATTTTTATCTTAAATTTATATTTTTTTTTTGCGACAAAGTAAAACTATCTGCGACAAACAAATTTTGTCGCAAAAAATATCAACTCCGCCATTTTTCTTGTGCCAAAAAAATTTGGTGGGAAATGGCTTTTCGCGACATTATAACGTCGCAAAAAATTTGCCAAAATCACTATTTGCGACAAAATTATTAAATCGTTGTGAATAGTATAATTTTTGCGACGAAAAAAAAACGTAGCAAAAAAATCGTCGAAAAAAATGATTTTTGTTGTAGTGACATTAAATGATAACTTTTTTATTTTTAGTATTATTTAAAAAAAATTTAATTTATTTTTAATTTTCTATATGAGAGGGAGACAAAATAAAGATGTATTAATATTGTTAAGAAAGATATTTCAACTTTTATTTTTGTTTTTTACCACAGAGAGTATTTAATTGCAACTTTTGTTTTTATTTTTTTTTGTTTTTTTTACTAGAGAGAGAGAGTGTGGGTGGAAGTAAATATGCGTTGACTTTTGAATATTTTTAAATTTTTTTTAATTTCTAAGTTTTTAATGTGATAAATTAGATTATAGGCCCAAATTATTGTAATAAAAATTTTAAGTAGAATTAATTTTTAAGGCTTTTTTGTAGTACTTAAAATTTAATGAATTTAATTTTTTTTTGCAAGTTAATGATGTACCTAAAATTATGAGAACTTCTAAAAATTTGGGGCATAAGCCTGTACTTCTTTTTTCATATTGTTGGTCGGCTTTGCGCCCTTGCCCCCTC